TATAATAGATATATATTTTTCATATTATCTATATTTTACAGATATGTGTTCCTAACAAATTTAATTGCAACAATATATAACATAAAATCTCTCGAACTCCATCTTCTCTGCAAATCGAGTTATGCATTTCCGTCAGACTAAAATTGTCATCTTTGAACGTTCCCGGTGTTAAAATCGCAATTAGGAGCATTTACAGTTATGTAAATGCAACTTTCGCGTTTGTTTATCAAACGAGTGGATCGTCCATATCGCGTCCGCTATGAAATAACCGAAGAATGACGACAAGTCAATTACGTCTGTATTCCATTATTCGTTTAATTACACCGACGGAGTGACTTAATGATGCGACGACCGCGTTAATATCAGTATTACCGTCTCCGTAATAGAATTGGACGAGGTGTGTCGAAAATTTTCGAACTAATTATTCGTAACAACGTAAGACTGGATTCAAGTTTTAGCGTATCGGTGCAATTTACGTTGCCAGTTGCTTTTGCATGGCAATCCATGATCACGATCTACGTGAGTACCAAGAGATGATCGAAAACTGAATGTTTTTAACCATTTTTGTGCATTATTATCTAATGAGTGGATCTCATTGTTAATAATATTTTGTTCTCGCAACGATGATATTGATATGAGAATTTGAAAATAATTTCAATTAGATAGAATTTAAACACAAGGATGTGAATAAAATCTAATTTCTGTGTTGAAAATTTTTAGCGCGAACAGAAAATCGAAAGGTAATCTCTGCGTAGATCGCTGCGTCAGACTTTCGCCAATAGCTTTCGCTTTTCGCAAGAGGCTATACATCACAATATTTTAAGCATATCCGTGAAAACGAGGGATAGACATAAGGAGGAGGTATAAAGGGAGGGGGAAAAAAACGAAATCATTCCGTTGCGTTTTAGTCTATATATAATATATATATATAATATATATATATATATACAATTGTATAGTTTTTGTAAAATACACGAAGAGAAAGCTTATATATGCAGATATGTATAGAGAGACATGAATAGATAGATATATTATATGAAGACAGATGTATAATTTGCGCGTTAAAGCTAGTTTTTTTGCGGCGTTTCTTTCTCTCTTCACGTTCTTATACGTTTAACGTACGATTTTGTGTAAGCCACTTTTAAATTATATTCGCTCATTCGGATATAAATCCACTTGGTGCTTGGTATCTATTTTCCGTTGTTGTTTCCGCAAAGCTTCTTTTCAATATTTATGCGTATTTATTCCGCGCGGCGTGTTCTCTTTAAACCGCCTCTTCTTCGCGCGATCGATCGTGGGCGCTCACCGAACTCAGACAATAATTCCTTTCTAAATAGATGTTAGCCTTTAAGCGGTCAGGATCGGCGAGCCCAGCACGATCGATTCGTTACAAACTCTCTCGTGTCCTCGTGTCTAATGAAGCGCTCAGCGTCAGTTCCCGATTTCGAAAAGATGCATTTACACTATTCACCGCTGCCATCGACTCGGCTTTAATTTTCATCGCGACAAAAAAGCGATGAAAACGTTATTGACGTTTGCGGTACGCGAACTAAAGAAAAGTGTGAAGAAACAACAAATTTGATCAAAGTACAATATTATTTCTTAATTACTCGGAGATCGAAGAATAAGTGTAACAACGAACGATTAATTATATTTATAATAACACAAGTGCCGTTGATAATTATTGTCCACTTCGACATTCGGTATCTCATCGAAAACAAATATTCTGCGGATTTTTTACGACAAATGTTTTCACACAAGTACAACGCGATCAATTGAAACATTATTTAATGATAAGTAACAGTTGTTTTATAAAGCTTTAAAATCGAAAGATGTATCCATGAACATTGCCTAATTTCAAGGATCGCAATTTTAATCGATCCGGATCTCGAGATCCGATTTGACACATCGTTGTTTAACGATTTTACAATTGATCTTACCTGATGCGCGCAGAAATCAAACGATCTCTATAAAATGTGTCCTCGCAATGTGTCACGTTTTCTTGTCTTTTATATTTATTTGTGAATCCACACACAAATATATACGACACTCGTCCACCATCCCTGACGCTTCGTTATTAGATAAATTGATCCCAGTAGCGATGACGATGCCAAGACAATCCTCTTCGAATCGGTCATATGATACTGAATTTTTTTTCTTTTTTTTTTCTTTAAGTTGTCTCGCCGCTGGGATAATACGATCGACCTTGTTTTTTATTTCTTTACGACGTAACGTTGATTGTATGAGTAAAGCATAATGATTGTAACGTTGATTGTATGGATAAAGCATAATGATTGTAATACTATCTCTCGTCATTTATAATAAAATATCCTTTTCTTACATTTTTCAACGTCTATTTAATGGGTCGAATGTTAATGAAGTTTCGTGACCTCAAAAAGAACACAAAACACACTTGTCCGGGAAAAAAAAATAAATTACAGGTATAACTCTCGTAATAACGCGATTTTATATAACCCGGCATTTCTGTGGAACGTAATATCCGCGTTATACCGAAAGTTGCCTGGTACAAAGGCGTATTTCTACGTTTCTTGTTTATTTTTCAGAATCTCGTGTGCTGTGCCAGCGACGTTCTGGAAGGAGGTCGCGGGGTTGTACGAGTCGCGGTCACCGTGGCCGAGTTGCTGAGGTTCCATCAGACACGCTCGCCCCTGCAAACATCCTCGAGCGTGCCGAACCACGTGCCCGTTTAGCGCCAGACTATTTAATCCCCGTCAGATCTGTCTGACAAAAACAAAAACCGATCCCGAGAACGTTTTTGTTCTTGCGCGAGCAGAACGGCACGGCAAAAAAAAAAAAAAAAAACGAGTCACGAGCGAGAAGACGCAGCGGATGCGCTCGAGATGCATTCAAGAAACGAAGGTATAGACAAGAAAAATCCGACTTTCTCTCTTTAAATCGTAATCGAGACAATTTCTCGGTTGCTTCCGTTTCGCCGTTAAGCAAAGCGTTCGCAACTTTAAAAGCAAACGGAAGTCGGATTAAAGAGTTCTTTAAGACACTTTCCGGATGACACAAGCGTTCACGCGGTAAAAGTAAAAAGGAGATCTTTGGAGATTTCCATTAAGCGTCTCTGCAAGAGACACGCTGCAATCGGTCAAATCTCGGGTTTTCCTTGGAATGTTTCTTAAACCTGTTATAAAAGGCGCGGCTTTGACCGATCTTGGATCTTTGTGCAATCCGGAATGTTTCTCTCTGGAAAGTTAGTAGCTCGAGAAGAGATAGTTTTTAGAACAAATAACGAATTGATAGTCTCGACTGTGAAGTACTTCTTTTTTAATCGAACCGACAATAAGTCGCTTTGCCACTGATATAAACTTCTGCACGAGCGCTCCGTAGAATCGGCAAATTTTTTGCTTTTCTATGTGAAGAAAAAAACAAAAAAAAACAAAAAAAAACAGTACACTTTTATATCCCCTCGTACGATGTAAGCAGTATTAATAATACCAAGCGACGGATGTTTCTTATCAAAAAGGTTAACGTGAATCCTGCGCGCGTGACTGGACGCGCGCGGGTTTCGCGCGCACGACGTATAAATGATAACGATAGACTGCGATTAAACCATGACACTTGAAATTAAATTAGATATAACGAATTTTATATCGAGAAACGCGATCAGTCGCACACGACGATGCTTATTTTTGTTCGTATCGCAACTAATAGAACCACCGAAGTCCCCGCGGGACACGATCACTTTTTATAGAGCAAAACTATAAACTAGAAGTAGGACCTATCGAGATATAAAGCTGCGTGTCTCTTCTTCCAGTCAAAAAAAAAAAAAAAAGTCATTTAAAGAAATGAATGAACACACACTTTCACAATTTAAACGAATCAAAACTAACATATATATCTTCGTGAAGAATCAAATCCAGAGTTTGTGCGTGACCGATATATTTTTTCCCGAGAAAGTATGTGAAACTCTTCCAGACATTCAGCTCCAAAAAAAAAAACTCGATTGCGCTAGGCTGACACAGATATCCGAGCTTTCGAATAGTGCAAGTCCTGTGTATTTTTGTGATCCGACATCTCGCACGCATGCGTCGCTCATGCTCAAGTTGATTCATTATTGTTACACGTCTGTCAAAACGAAATTAATAGCATGTGTATAAATGGATTTTTTTTTTTTTCGAAATATTCGACGTTATCTGTCAGGTGTTGATTTCCTCGAGTAAACTCTACATTCCGTTGCTGCTTGTCGGTGACGGGAATTACTGTACTTAATTCAATTTCGAACACCTAAATTCCATGGAATTGTAATATTTTCGAATACCTGTAAAATTTCGAAGTTAACTTCAAAGATATAACAACCGGTTGTTCTATCTCGACAGGTATTATCTACATACGATAGGAATTCAAGTAGCGCATTTCTCATTGCTTTCTATTTTCTACTCTTTATTTATTTTATTCTGTCGGATACGACTTACGATATTTATCTTTTAGGGGTTCTTTACCAGAGATAAACCAAGTTTATCGATACATGGACCACACAACGCAATTCAGAGTTTTAATCATTAGACAGACGGGTACTTACTCGATACTTTATCTGAAGTTGTCTTCTTAAGTTATCTTACTCTGAAGTAGTATTAGGAAATATTTTGAGTCTCACGGTCTTTTTTTTTTTTTTTTTTCTGTACTAATCAAGTGTACTGAAGGTGTACTCGAGGACAATCAACACTCGTAAACGAGCAGTATCGTACCCCCCCTCATTTTATCCCCAAAGAAGTATCGCGTCGATCAATCAACAGATCAAAGATAGGTAGGTCTCTGTACGTGCGAACGGTAAGTTAGTTAGAAAGTTTCGACTTTTAAGTACCGGCGATTGCTAAAACGATCGTATTAGATGTCCCGCACAATCGTCGGTATTTGCCGGCGCATCGTGTGTGTGCTACGACCGGTTACCGACAAGCGTTAAGTACACGGTTCATAACGGCACGAGTGCGAATTCCAGAAAAGTCATCCTAGGATCAACTGAGATACGGTGTTCGAAACGTAGCTTATTTTGGGTAAGCGTGTTTTTTTTTATCTTTATGTTTTTTTTGTTATTATTATTTTTTATGCTTGTTTGTTAAAACAAACAACCGTGTTTCGATCTTTGCGATCTTTTAAATCTTCTTCGTGATGTCAATACTGACCAGAAGACGATCTATTCCCAAAAATTTTCCTAGGCGAAGCGAGAAGGAAATCTGCACTTCGATCTTTACGTTATCGGAATTTCCGATTATAGTCAGAAATCAAAACCGTTACTTTGCGCGTAATAGTTAACGCGAATAACCCCAATTAGGTGCTAAGTCTAATATCATTAATTGTGATTGTCTGTATTGCGATGTTCGTCTCTTTTGATTTCGACTTTGATGTGATGGTTTTTTTTTTTTTTTTTTTTTTTGTCGTATAAACGCGAAGAAACGCGAACGATCTCAAGTACCGTGATCGGGAAAGGAGAAGAAAGAGTTGAGAGTGATCGGTGCGAAGATTGGTGGTAGCATTGGCCGACACGGATAATTTGTAATGTTCGTATTTATTGTGCCAAAGATACAATATGTCTTGTCTCCCTTTACGTTCGAGGACGAATATTTCGCGCTTTTATTATGATCATCTTCGTTCGCGAGATACAAATAAACATTGCACTTTTGTTCGGATTAATTTAATTTGTATCTCGCTTTTTTTTGTTGTTGAAGCGGTATCACACATCCATCTTTTCGAAACAAAACAATGCACGCGGAAGAAAGGGAGTCTTTATTTTTGTTCTAGTGTTTAACTTTAATTAGAGTTACCACAATTTTTTTTTTTTTTCGAAATATTATATATCTTATATTTTATAGAAATAAACGACGAATTTTTTTTATTATTTTCTCGTTAAGAATATATTTTTGCGTTATTCTCTTTGGACAGTCTAATCTCGTGGACTTTTTCTTACAAATTAATAATGTAATGCTTCGAATATTTATGTACTCAAGTGTTATAAGAATAAAAACAAAAACACGAATTGTTCTCACGGGCAAAGTAGAATTTATTATTTATGTAATTATTTTACGTAAAAATAATTTATTTGTTTTGTTTCTTCTTGCGTTAGAAATTTTTATGTGTGTGTATATACATATATATATATATATTACGAAGGAATTGTTGCTCGCCACTTTTTGACGAAAAGTACGAGAAGAAGTCACGACCTCGTTACAAAAATTGTACAGCTCGTCCTCGGATCGTTTTTCGTGTTCGCGCGTTCGCACGCGCGCATCATCTCCTTTCCTTTACCTTCTTTAACTTCAAGATTCTTTTGCGGTTTTTTTTTTGTCATAGCCACGTAAGGATCTGTAAAGCGACGCGTCACTGCGGAATTGTATTACTCACTCAAATTAACTGTGTTCGTTAAATTGCGCAGAGCAACGTCTGCCGTGAAATAAAAAAATAAAAAAAATCACAGCGATTCGAAACACCTCGTTCGATGTTTCACTCAAAAGATAGTATTATTATCTCTGTGTGTATATTTCTCTGCGCACTTTTTAGTTTCACTTCTTCTGGTGAACTTTTCGCACACTTATGCGTACCGCGAATTTGCACACCGCATTTTGTAAAATGATAGAACAATTGGACTATCAAATTGCAATTGATGTTGTGTGGAGTTTGTAAATAATATAAAGAAAGAGTTTTAGGTTCGTCATTTCACACTGACGTGAACTAATCTCGTATCTCATGTACAAACGGTTCGACTTGGAATTCAATCACTTTGCAATTCGATCGAGGTGTTTCCAATAGCTGTTCGCTGTGGTGAATTATTAAACGCGCACTATGTAATGTATTGAAAAATTAATATTATATATAAAATAAATTCAAGAAGATTACGTGTGTGTTGATCTTGTTTATTTAAACAATTCTCTCTCCAATGTTTCGCTCCGTTCTTTCTTTAATTTTAATAGAAATGTTCTCTTAATTCCTTTTCTCCAAGTATTTTTTTTTTGTCGTCGCGAAACGCATCACGAAGTTGAACGCACGACCGGGAGAGAGATCACTTCGTTGGCGAGAACAGCCCCCGGAGAGAGAAGAAGTCCGTCCGTTAACCCTTTCTTCGTGATCGGGGCGGATCACCGATGGGCGGAGCTCCCACCGGCGTCCAGCTCCATTTTGTTCAACAGAGGCGGTTCGAAGGTACACCACACCTTTTCCTCTACTACCTGGTGTATCACCTTGGGCAGCGCGAGCGCGTTCAACCTCCTCGAGGTGGCGGGAACGCAGCGGAGCACATTGCCGGACAAGAGTTCGTGATACGCGTGTGCCGCGCGCTGCTCGCGCGCGCCTCTTACGGGCTTTCGTTCTCGCTTCCCTGAACAGGTTCGTTTTTCACATTTGTGACGGAACTTGTCAAAGTCAATCCCGGTCGGGCGTAAGTAAAAAAAAGACCGATCGCCGGCGAGGATAACAACAACGTCAAAAAGTATGTCGATCGAATTTGACGCGGTGGACAAAAAAAAGTGCACGTGATACACATCACAGACGCAAATAATTTTGTATTTCTCGAGAAAAGTGATTTGAAGCGTGAAAGAATTAGCCACGTGACTTATAGTCATCTTCCCCGTTTAATTTATTTCTCAGTTTCTGTAACAATACCAGAAGAAGAGTTGATACAGCTGTCAAAATCCATATGTGGTGGTTGGTGAGAGACATTTAAACGCCATCTATCATTGTTGTATACACATATACGTACACACTTGACGTATCGAGAACGGCAGCTGGGCGTTCCGCCGTTTGGAGACCGGAAATGATCGCGTGAAGAACAACAACTTTCTTCGATCTATGGACAGTGTGGAAAGTGAGAGAGAATCTTTTTCGTTTCGAACTGATGATCCCCTCGAGAGAGGGTCGCGATATCGCAAACAAAAGTAGGAAACAGGTTTCGGCAGGCGCGCGCGGCATCAACGCGGGATCGAAGGTTGAACCGCGCCGAAAGTTCGTCGATCTTTCCGGGAATAAAAACGTACGTGCGTGCGTGCGCGCACACACGCGTGTGCTCGCGGATGACTGTGTGTTTACGAGTTTAGTTAGGAACGTTTTGTTGTCGACCGCGCGTGGTGTACGCGCCTCTGATAACGATCGACGCCGATAACACACGCTGGCTACCGACGGGATCGATAACACGCGATGATCCGACCAGTGCGTAAGCGCGCTTGAACGACGACGAAGCTCTTTCACACCTGGAAGCGGAAATGACGGCTTGTATCGGCTCGTGAGGCGGACACACAGCTCTTTTGCGTCACGAGGAAAACGATTCGTCGCGCGTAAACGTCCCGACAAAAAAGGCCGGTGCGACGTAAAAAAGTCGAGCACTTGAAGATAATCGAATATTGAGAGACGAAACGCGAAAAAAGTGCAATTGATAACAAACCGTTCAATGTGTGCGCGATATGTGACCGATGTTATCGAATCTGTGAAAAAGAATGGCAGCTGAAAAGTGAGTATCGTTTGTTCGTTCTTGATGGAGATGGTTGACAACGCGAGCCGATCACTGATCTGTTAAACTTGACCCACTATGTTGTCTCTGACCCAGATGAGGGGAAAAATAATAAGAAAACGCAAACGCGGGTCTCTTCCCGAAGATTCAGTTCCGCGAAGTTGAGAGTTCGCGTGACTCTCGGCGAGACCGGAGGAGGCGCTCGGACGAAGAAGCTGTCGAAAATTGGCAGGTGTCGAAAGTGATCGCGATCGAGTTGTTGAACTCTCTCGTGGCGCGAGTCTTTGTTGAGAGGCGGACAAAATTAGCGAAGTGAGAAAGAATCGTCGTCGGACTTGAGCATCGACGAACCAACGGTTTTTCGCGAGAAAACTCTCGGAGTGACGTTTCTCGTGTTAGAAGACATTTGCTCGCGTCGTTTGAATGAAGTTGGTTGGCCGAAAACGCGGAGGACAACGCGAACGGCGAAGATGGCATGATTTCGTTACGCACGGCGAGAAGATACGTGACACGTAGATTTCTATTTTCTTTGTTGTTCGTGGATGAAAACTGTGCGACTATTATTGACGATGGATCTCAGAACAGAAAGTAGAAAAGCTCCCGAAGGCGAAGGGCAGAAGACCAGACCGGCCAAAAGCGTTCTCAGCATTATCAACTTTGTAGACGTCAAGCAACCGGAATCATCCGCGCAGGATGTGGAACGTTCACCAAGTGAGTTTTTAAATTATCCATTTAAAAGAGTCATTTGTTATATCTGATAAAACAATAAAATGTGTCGACAATCATGACTAAGACTATTACATAAACAAATATATATAAAATATGAAAATATGTCGCAACTATATAAAAAAATTATTATTACACGCGCAAAAGTGTGTAATATACTTCAGACAAAACAAGATTTTTGTTACCTCTTAGATGTGCGAATAAACGACTATTATGACACGTGACAGGTATTCCAAGACCATCTGGTAGGCAACTTAATCATCAAGTTGATTAGATTGGATGTGTAATTATTACTATGTTCTATGTAATTTGTCGTCGTAAAAAGTGTGACTATTCTGCGAGTTGATTACACGGTACTGTAAAATACTTAACCTAGGCGATGTATATAATCAGAGCACTTTGAATAACGCACACACACACAAGTGTATCGTACGTTGTATTTTATACGCACACACAAATCGAGTGCGATGCGTACGATTGTGAAAAAAAAAAATTCGCGGCGAATTTCTTTTTGGCGCGTTTAATAAAGAAACACATTTACTTTGTTTGAGATCCACACAAATGTTAATTTCAACAGATGACTCGCGTCTCTTTCAATGGACAATTAAAGGCGCGAGAAATAATACAATATTTACAATCGGGGAAAAATGTTCACGGTCTGTGACCCACAAGTCCAGTTGCGGTTACCGAGACGCGTCAGACTGTAAACATTTTCGCGTGTAACAACAGGTTGCAAAATTGGTTCGAGGAAATGCGCGAATGTTTTCATTAAATTCCGTTCCGGACAGAAACTCACGGCATCAGAGAGAAGATGGTAGAGAAAAGATGGAAAAAACCAAAAAATCGTGACATATTCTAAAGGACGATCGGTTACCTTCTCTCCGATCGAAGCCGCGGCGTGGCATTCCGGTGCCTTGAGAAAGCACCAGCTTGTGGGTTTGCTTTTTCCGCGCGAGTGGCCTTTTGTGCCCCGGGATTCAAGCAAAAACCGGCCGCCCTTATAAGAGCGGCGAAGTTAATTAAAGCACATTTAAAGTCGGTAAGATCGCGATAAGACGGCGATTAACTCGAAATTAGTCCGCCCTGCGGATCTAGCAAAAACTGTATCGCTGTCGTTATTGCCGACACGTATTGACGGTGTAGATAAATACGTGATTGAGACGATGGCCAATTAGACGTGGGGCGAATTATTACGTCACGACCCACTCCTAAAATTCATTTGTAAAAGCAAAAAAAACTTTCTGCGCACTTAATGACTCGCGCTCTCGTGTGTTTGGCTATTCTTCTCGTTCCTTCCTTCCGCCATGTGATATCGAAGCAATTTTGTTTGTTAAACAATAAAATATCAAATCGCCGTTCGGCTGTTTTTTTACGGCAACTATTCTCACATAGATGTTTGCGATTGATTGATTATTTAAAATTTTGACATTTTCGTCTGTCGGAACGTCAAAGCCGAGCATTTCGTTTGAAACACGGAAAAATCGGCGTGCGGGAGCGGAAAAATGCTGCATCGGCCGAGTTTCCAGTTGGCTGATAATATGCAAACCACTTGCTGGATAGCGCGCGATAACACACATTATTCCGACTTTCCTGTGGTCGTGAATAAATAGCAAAATACCATTTAGTGTCGTCAGCCGATAATGCGAAACGAGACCCGCGGCTCTGTAACGGAAATCTCGTGCGGTCCCTTCGCAAAACTTGTACGAAATTCTATTGTTGCTTGTTAACCGGACAATTAACAGAGATAAACGCATTAACATCGATTAACAAATTATGTAAAGCGCGTAAACATTAATCGTCACGAATTAGGCAATAAACAATTGTGTAATCTCTGTTTCATGCGGGTAGGAATTAATTTTGTAAAGTACGAGGAAAGTTCGTTGTGTAATTTGTGCGTACACACACACGCGCGCGCACGTGCGAGCAAATGCATTTTAATGTAACTCAGACGATTTTCATATATGTATATGTATTTTTTGTTCTAACGGTTATACATTGTTGCGACCGATTCGACATTGGCTCGATTAAACTAGCGAAACACGCAAAACGAATTATGTCGCGGATAAGCACCTCTTATAGATAAGCGTACAAAGTAAGAATTGCTAATCTAACGAAGTCATGGTTCAAAGACGAGTTAACGAATTCCGCATAGAAAACAGTCACTTATTTCTGTATCGCTTGGAAAAAAAAAAAAAAATAATAATAATAATTGTTATTGCTGTCATTATACTTTGCCGATATCGTAACGTCTTTGTTAGTACTGAATATTACATTGTAAAAACGTCTTTATTACATGTACATAATTTAAAGATATTTAAAAGACAAGAAGACATAAGAAAGAAGTTAGAACGCTTTGCACAGTTTTACGTCTGACGTAAAACTAATTATATATGTATATATATATATATATATATACACATATCGCTTGTTTACCGTTTGAAATACTTTCGTGCAATTTCTTTTTCGGCTCTCGCTTTGTCGTCGACGTACAAAACGAGAACGGATGTAATTAGTTTTGTGCCACGCGGATATTATTAGAACGCAAACGTACGTTGTGGGTAAGTAAATATTTTAAAATATAGATACAAATAATTACCGCCAAGTGCGCATAGATAAGCGGGCTTAAATAAGGTGGCTTAATAACACATACCGCGATGTAACGAGTAAAGAAATGTTTCCGTTACATTTTAGTCGAGTAATTACTGTCAGAACTGATAAAGTAATTTTTTTCCGTTTTACGTTAAAGAGTAAAATTATCCGCAATAACGCGGTTTCGTTTAACTTTGTTCAATTTTTTTTTTATTGTTAAATATATTATTTATATTTTTATTATTTATATTATTGAACAAAAAGTTTTACCTAATTGGAATAACAAAATGTAGTGACAGTCGCGGATATATATTTACTTCGCGACCCCTCACGCGAATGCCGAGCTTTTCTACTTAAACCTTTATATAAAATATCTACGGACGAGACGGCATGTGCATAGGCCGGTTTGCCGCCGCCATATTACGATTCCCGGTCTGGTCGATTAAACGCTATAAATGGCCAGGACAGAAGGTGCAATAGAATTGGGGTACCACCGAGAGCCAATGGCGCTCTGCGATTAGGGGGGTGGTTGTTCGTGCTCGATTGGCTTTCACGAGCGAGGGTTGATGCTTCTCCCAGGAGGAGGGGGAGAGGAGTGAGCTACGTCTTTATATATTCTACCATCGATTCCCGTTATCCCATTACGGAAACGACTCTTCACCCCCTCGCGTTTAAAATTTCATCGTTCTGGAAACATTACACAGACCCTCCGATAATTTCCCCATTCATTTATTGGCGATCTGTGTACGATCGCGTGGAATTTATGCACGAAACTCCGTCTTTTTTTTATCGTCAATACATGGGAATGTCCGCGATTCTGTCGTAAGATCCGACAGCATCCGTCCGCGCTCTCCGAGAGAGACTGAGGGTCCACGAGCGGGGGACCCGCAAAAATGTCAACGTCACGGGCCTCTCCACAGGTTTTCCGCCATAGAGCGCGCGCGGTTAATTGCGAAAAACAAAGAGAATCTCGCCAATAATACGTGCCGGGACGGGTCGTAAATAAATGCCGCGGGTTTTACGCGCGCGGTTATACGATGCCGCGATACTCGCTGATTGGTCGATCCGGTAGAGCCGCGCTAATTGTGTTTTATTAGCAATTCACCTCTTTTTCTATCAGCTCGCTCTCTCGCTCGCTCTCTTTCCTTCCGTCCTTCCTCTCCTTCGTCGCCGAACATCTGCGCGATCTTGGCTGACTAACTAACCAACCCTCCCGCCCATGTGCTAACTACGAACGACATTGTTATTAAGTGACTCTACACTGTACGCGCGTACTAAAGCCTACGCGCGGCGATGATACTGCGCCTTTGATGCTCGTTAGGAGCCATTAGAGAATTACAGATGAGCTGCAAGGATCTGCGCATCATCTGTCATAGGTTACCGAAAGAAACAGGAAACGTTTAAAACCGACTGACGCGCACTTCTGATGGAAAACTCGATCATTTTCGTTTGTGTAAAAATTTAATTTTCATCAAAATAAATTCCAAGTTTTCTCGGAAAGAAAACTTTTCTCTTCGTCGGGACTTTTTTTTTGTTCAACAAATGCGAGCAGTGCTCGCGAATCGAACGAATCGCAACGGTAGAAACTCAAAATCGTATCTCGCGAGAAGTGGGAGAAGCGCGCGCGGACGGGTATTCCTTTATTCTCTTGGCGGCGGGGGTTGCGTCTCCGGGCGGCGGATAAGGAAAGGAAGAGAGACGAGCAGGGGCGAGTCTTATTACGTTGAGGAGGAGAGTCGGGCATGCTGGCGCAATCAAATAAATTAGTCGGAATTACGCGGGCCGTTGGAGCCGGTGGTGCAGCCATTCACCACCAAGCTCTCGTCCTCGCCACCAATTAGCGAAGCTTTATCCCAGGCCCTTCCACACACACAAACGTGTATACAGGCGCGCGTATACGCATATATTTCACATGGGTATTCGGTGTATCGCTTCCCGAGAAATTCGCGAGCCGCCCGCCTCGCTCGCCGCCATGTTGATACCATGATTCTTTTCCCGGCATATCGCGCAACCCCCGCCCGGCGCGCAAGACCCGGGTGTGTGTGATTTGCTACGTAGCGCGCGAGTTTTATTGGACTGGCGGGATAAACGAAAGGCGACGCGCCACGAGGAATTCAACGTACGATCGCGTGATGATCGTTTATTTCGCTTATTTATTAAATGCCGACCCGTAAGACCAATTATCGGGTTATAGGCTTGCACGGGAAGGAGAGTTTCAGACGAGAGAGCCGCGCGCAGCGCGAACTTTCAGACTGTGCGCTTCGCTGAAAAAGATATGCCGATGAAACCGAGCTTCGATTTCATTCCGCCGCGATGCGAATGTGCGCGCGTGACGGGAGATTTTGCGGAAACCTTTTATTCGTTCCGATATTAATTTGACTTTGCCTTTTATTGCA